TTAAGAAATAAAATACAATTGCGCATTTTATATTTTTAACCGCATTAAATCACAGAATCAATAAAAATTACCGCATAGTTACGCAAAATTAACTTTTATTATCACAGAATTTCGCAGAATACATTTAAAAAACAGCACATGACATCACGTCTTAACCAAAACAGTAAATCATCGGCCCTGACCCAATCATATTTATGCAAGTATAGATTGAAATTACATTGTTGATATCATAGGATTTTCAAAAAAAAAAAACTTCGTCTAGCTAATATCTTGACATATATTTTCGAAAAATGTATAACCGGAACCAACCTACCTACGCTAATCGCTATCAGCCACAACAACACTCTGTATCACCACCACCGTTGCAACACCCAATTCCAACTCACCCACCGATTCAAATGCGCGATCCGCCGTCTTCACCTTCGCCACCAACACAACAACACTTGCATAACACGAACATATGGCATCTAAATGACGCTACAACACAAATGGGAGTGGAATTTGGACGTACAGTGCTGACTGCTGGATCCGAATATGTCGAGAAAAATGTTTGTTTATCATAATTATCTTTATAACTATTCTCATAAAATTAAAAGTTAAGCTTGCAATTTTCTTGGGAAACTTTATTTCAGATCAACCGATATGTCGACATTCCCGCTCTTAAATATTATTTCAAAGTAAATAATTCATACGTGGCAAATAAAATAAAATTGCTATTATTCCCGTGGAGACATAAAGTAAGTATTGATTATACGCTTCTCAGTTTGATTTGACAATAAAAATTAAAAGATTTTTTATGTAGCGATGGACTCGTATTGTAATACGATCTGAACAAAATGGTCAGTTGGAAGGATTTAAACCACCCAGAGATGATATCAATTCACCAGATTTATATATACCAGGTATATCACATCATGCGTGTAATTCAATATCGCGAAATTATTGGTACTAATTTATAAGTTCATACTTATTATATATATATATAGCAATGGCTCTTGTGACATATGTATTACTCACAGGAATAGTCTCGGGAACTCAAGGCAACAAGTAAGTTATCTAGATTGTACTATTGCCATTGGATGAGATTTCTAAAATTTTTCTAATGGCTTATCCTTTATAGATTTCATCCAGAGGTTTTAGGAGTTAATGCAACTTCTGCGTTTCTCCTCATGGTGCTAGAATTGGCATTTATTAAGTTGGGATGTTATTTGTTGAACATTACATCGGATACTAATATATTAAATTTACTGGCATATTCTGGATATAAATTCGTTGGGTAAATCTTATATCTATCCTCTTAATCTTTATTACGATTTTTTTTAATGCATTAATTTAATATTGTCGATAATGCATCAGTGTCATTGTCACTTTGGCCGTTTCTTTGATAGCACCTTTTTGGGTTGTTGCTAGCACATTCGTTTACACAGCTTTTGCTAACGGATTTTTCTTGGTATGGATGCTATTCGAACTTTTATTGACGAATTAAGCTTGAATTTTTTAATTCACAATTAACAAACCTGCATATATCACATTTTTCATAGCTGCGATCGCTTCGACAAGTCGTGTTTCCTGATGCTAGTGCTACTGTCGGTATTCAACCTCGTCAAAAAAGAAAAAGAATACATTTTCTTTTTCTTGTCGCGGCTCTGCAAGTTGTCTTTATGTATTTACTTGTAAGATAATTAAAGGTAACGCTTGGATCCAGGATACCCTGATAGAAATCCTATTTTATATTTAAATTCGGTTTTATAAATGGATGTTAATCGATTCTAATCCAAGTTATATTATATATTTATTAGTTTATTATGAAATTTTTTTTTATTAGAAATTTGATTTGATAAACGAATATATGCAAGACACTTAAAATATTGAATCTCACACAAATGTTACCTTATTATCATAGCTAAACTTGCGCTTGGAAATGTAATTCACTCACGATTTCATATTTGCACGAAATAAAATTTTTCAATTAAAACCTTGACAATTAGTGAATTTATCAAATGTAATATATAGTATTTTTTAATAAACTAGCAAAATGTAAACGTTTTATAAATGGCGCCACCTAAAAAAATTTCAGGTCATGCAATTTATATCATACACATTTTAAAAATTTAATATCGTGATTATTGAATCGTATGATCTAAAGTTTTTTTGGGGTGGCGATTTAAACTCGGATGTGTCTTGTCAAATTAAGATACTATACATCAAGGAAGCAACTACAGCATTACGCATAACTTTATTAATTAATGTTAAAGAGAAATCAGCCCCGGGATTTTTTTTTAGATCCCAATCAAGAACAGTATGAAAATAAAATTTTTGTTCCTGCCCAATTAGAATCAGCATTGCATAGGAATGTTCTTGGATCGGCTGCTTTTGATCAGGTAAAAAAAAAACCCCCCCGATTTACACGTATCACAATACTCCCAAGCACTAACAAGTTAACTAAAATCTTAATAAAATTTTTTACGTTTTTGATTGGATTAGATCCAAAAATGTGATCTGAAACATGTTCCATTATTTACGACATTTGTTACATAAAATTACGACTAAAGAGTTAGTTATTAAATTGACTGAAATATGTGATAATCCTTTACTGATGTTTACACGAATAATATTCTGTTTTAACGTTATTTAAAAAACAATTTATTCAACTTTGGCATTATTGAATACACCAACGAAGGTTAGTATTATGTTTGTTACTATTTCGGGACGGAAAGTTGTTACTGCATGCTTAAGATGCCTATTAAGGGCCGACTGATTCTGGAGGAGGACACTTTCCTTAATAGAGACGTTTGACATAAAAAAAAAAAATCTTTTATAAGATGTCGCAAGTTAACCTCATACTCCATGTCGTGGGCAACAAAGGCTCTTTGACCTTGCCTCTTGTCACGTCGGTTGACGAAAATTGCACTTTTGCTAGTTTGCTCGCGGAGTGGAAGTGCATCAACAAACATGCGTTAAACGGCCTGCTCACTTTCAGAAGAATCGTGCTATCGGACGATGGCACAAATATTAATTCGTTCCTAGTTTGGGACTATATGAAAGAGCGTCAGTCGTCAAATGTGGCGCAAACCACGTCCTAGTTTACTTAGGGATACACATTCGTCTGTACTGGCTTCTAGAAAGTGCATAGTCGACTAATAATAATATATGGGTGGAATATATTCTTTGCGTCATTGAGGCAAAAGCACAAAACATTGAACATGGCCTTTGCCAGAATTTTGTTCAGCTACAAGTTGCCTGTGAGGTAAGATATACTGTATTCTTTACATATATTTAAATAAAATTTATAAAATCTGCCCTTTGGCAAGAACGCACCTAGTATCACCACCAAAATTATGTACGTAATCGGTTTTTAAATTTCAATCTAAGCACAATAATAACAGAATCACAAGATTTTTGAAAAAAACAACTGAAGTTTTTTTTTTTTTTTTATTCAAAATATTTATTGGAATTTACTTAAATACCACTGCAAACACTAAGTCGAATTACATTCAATTCAAACATTTAAATGCATTTATATTCAAATTCAATTTTTTAATACACGTATAAACTTTAAATGTTACCAGTAAATGTGTTTTTGTTACGATCACTCTAAGTTTTGGAAGTTTTTTTGCTTGTTCGAAATCTTAAATGACATCCACCATTTTTTAGATAGGTTTAAAGTTTGATTCAATGCTTCGAACCAAATTTTTTTTGGAAAGATTATTAGATTTTCAAAACAATCAAGCGTCAAAAACATAATAAAATATATTTATATAAACATGAAAACATGGTGATGATAATAAAAAAAAATCCATCATGCTGACTAGAATAGCGAATTCTGTAATAGAAAGGATATTTTAAAGTAACTCTTTATAGAAATTTACAATAATTCCAATACAAAATTAACACTACATTTTGGCGGGTGAGATTTGTAAATTTCTTGCAGCAACTCATAAGGGAAATTACAATAATTTTAATCTAATTCAACCTTAACTACGAAATATTGTCACTGGAATAGCAAGTAAGTTTTATTGTAGCTTATGATAGAAGTTGGAGTCACGATAATTTCGATGAAACTAACTTAACACATACTTCGATTACCCGAAGCAAGTTCTGTAATAGAATTTTTTAAAATAACGAACGATTTTTGAAAAAATTCCCGTGACGAAGGCACGGGCAAAGAGCTAGTATATATATATATATTTAAAAGTTTGAAATTATTTTTCATATTTACTTTTTTAAGTGAATTAAAGAAGTGTGTTTTTTTTAATGCAAATTTTACATATAAAATTGGGAGTTATCTCATTTGATATATCAAGTAATTAATTTTAAACTATTTTAAGAGATATGTTCTATGACTATTGACCAAGTTGTTATAATATTACAATTTATTATATAATTTTAGCCAATATTATAAACATGCTTGATTTATTAATATTTTTAAAATTATGTAATAAATTATAATAAAAATGCAAAAAATTCTATACAGTAATTTCTATACTATCTACAGGTCCATAATACCACTTTCCCTCCTTAAAACCCCAAGCTTCATAGAACCAATTCTTGTAGGTAGTCTGCAAAGTTTGATTCCAAATCTGTTTTTCAAGTGTAGACCAGCACCCTGGAATAATCTTCCACTTTGTAACCAAGTTTGCGGCTGTTGAATTCCGAATGACATTGATTATTGGTAACCCCTCTTCGTATTTGGAGTACACATTCTTAATGGCATTTAATTTCTCAATGTCTTTTATCCGATGGATCATGATGGTCTCGCCAAGGAAATGGAGGTCCAAGTTCTCATCAAAGTCATGAATCGAATTTTGGCGGGTGGGCTCCCAACTTGTAAAGCCGATATAATGTACGAAGTATTTCTTCTCCTTAGCAATATGACATACCCACTCACCCACTAACCAGTCTTCAGGGCCTATGGCATTTGAACTAACCAGTCTGATCCAACAATGTCTATGACGAGGTCACGGGAGAGGGTGAATCCCGCACCTTATTTCCAAGTGTAAGGAAAATAGATTTAAAAATGCATTAAGCATTGAAGATATAAAGTGAATAAAAAACACACCTCCCATATACGAGTATGGTCCATCATCCCAACCTAGACAATTGCCATAGTATACACGTTCCCTCGGTAAATCTTGAAGGTCACGGTAGTAGTGAATAAGGTGGATAAAAGTGTCATCGTCCGCTTTGGCCACGTAATTATCCTCCCTCTAAGCATATTTAAAATATTTAAAATATTTAAAATATTTAAAATATGGATGTTTATTGACGTGTGCAACCTCATAACAAGACGTGAATACTCACATGCCAATTAAAATATTCAAACGTCTTTCCTTCGTTCATGTTCTCTGTAATATCCAATATAACAATATCACCGTACATTTTCGATTCTTCCTCCAGTTTATTTTTATAATCATCCTTTGGCAGTCCCAAGATAAACCTAATTGTCACGGGCGATTTCTTGACTCCGAGATACCGCGCCAGAGCTTCATTATTGTGTGTATATAGTTTGCGCAAGCACTCTCTAACCTCGATCTTCTCATAAATGGTCAGAATTCCAATGAGGATCGTTAAATTCTGATCGACGCCCGGAGGGGGTTTGGTATAATTATCATCTGTTATATGTAATAGTGAGGTTGTTGATTTTAAGGATTGAAAGTAGTATAAAAATAAGCTTAGACCAAGGATGAATGGAATGGCGCAGTATTTATAGTTAAAAGATTTGCACATTTTTTATTAGTTCAACTAATAATACATTCACAACGGCTCAATAATTCGGTATAAACGATTGCACACGTATGAAATCTTCAAGACTTTAGATTTTAAAATGACATTCATCCCATTCTATGTAAATTCGTACGTACTTAATATTTGTACTTATTGTACTAAGCCCTATAAAAAAAGTCGATCCTATTCCAGGTTTTATCCATAAATGTTGCAGATTCACGGATAAAATTTCTTACAGGAATAAATTTTTTTTTATTGATTTCATGTTATCTTATTAAATCAAAATAAAGAGCCTCTAATACTATACTATTATAGTGAAGTATATGAAGAGAAATTGGCATCGGTTTCTTTTTAGATCCTTATCAATAACAATATGCACGTAAAATTTTTTTTTTTTTTACTCCATCAGTATTGCCGATTCATCGGGAATCGTTTAATATAAAGAAATTTTTGTCGATCATCGCTAATTTAAAAAGAACATTAATTTCACTAATGTATGACTGTTCTGTCAAATTTCAATGTTGGCATTTTGAACTATTCCAATAAAAGTTTCATTTGGACATATACTTATAGACATTTTATATGTCCAAAATTTGTCCAAATTCGCTCAATTTCCAAGATTGCCAAGCTGTCAAAGGTTATATAAATTTAAAGTTTATATTATTATTGGTGATGATCGACAAAAAATTTTTATCGTTATTATTACTATTAGTTTGCATCATTTGATAGACAACACCCCAAAGAAACATATTTTTGGCGGGCAGAATATTCTGAACTAAAGATTCTTTGTTCAAAATCAGTTATTATATTTTAAAGTAAGATTTCAGTATACAAAAATTAATCACTTTAAATCAGGATCAGTTGAATCGGGAATCGGGCATTTTCGTAGAGTAAGTAAGGTTCGAAAGCTTTCACTTCACTCCAGCTAATTAACTAGTGTTAAGCAGGCATTTTGCTAATGATTTAAATTTATCATAATAGTGACGTATTGAATCTCATAATAATTCCTATAAATAAACTCGTGAGTAGCCACTAAATTTAAAGCGATGGTGATCTTTGAAAAGGCAAGTAGCAAAAAATTTCATTATTTCCACTCATATAATACAGACACGTTTTAGCCCTAGTCACCAGATAAAATTTTGTAAAATATATTTACTATATATATCTGCATATTTAAAGTTAGAACAATTATCATGTGTGCTGCCGAGGGAAATAAGGAATTCTTTATTTCGAATATTTCACTTGACAGGATAAGTACCCAGTCTTAAACTTCGATCCCATGAAAGCATTAAAGGTAAAATATACGAAATGATAGATCGTACTACAATATGACCTCTTTAAATGCACCTAATTCAATTAGAATTATCTATTATCTGTACATACAGTATAATATATATATATATATATACAGTATATTTATTTATATATATATATAAAATAATTGACTTAAAAATCACCTCCGGTGATTTTTATGTTTTTTGATTATTATAAGATTTATACATAGAATTCTTAGAAATTAAATAGAATTCTTAGAAATTAAAGTTAAGGTTAGATTCACCTCCGGCAAGCATCCTTTTTAGAAATAACTTTCAATTTTTTGTTTATTAAAAGTTGTGAGAAAATTTTATTCAAAAAATTAGAAAGTCCCGTAATAATTGAGTAAATTTGGTTAGTTTTTAAAGGTTCATAAAAGAAAACTTGCGAACCCGTAATGAGAGGCATGTTACACAATAAGCAAATCTGATTAGTAACTACACCAATATTCCATTTTTTTTAAAAAAAATAAAGAATAATTGTAATGTTAACCTGTTATAAACAAAAAAAAAATTAATATGAACACCTGGTTACCAAAATATGCCTACGTAAAGAGAATTCATTCAAGTTCAGGGTTGAGATCTAAATTGAAAGTTTCTGGTTGCTGCATCGCATCCAGGGAACCGAATGAGTTAGGTTTTACATAATGAATATCATCACCATCTTCTTCTTCTTCTTCCTCATCATCATTTTTGTCACCTGCTTTTACAAATCCCGTATATGGATTGATACGCGTTATTTTATATTTATTAATAAAGATACATTAAAAAATGTATCATACCCTCATCAAACATCATATCAACATCTTGTCGAAATAGAAAGCTTCTCCTCATACGTGTTTCATCAGGATATGGAGGTTCAGCAAAAGTTCCAGTTATATAGTTTGGTGGAGCTGATGTATAGCTGCTAATTCTATTTGCATATTTTAATATTTCATCAGCAGTTACCGAAGCTAAGTTTAATATTTTTTAGTAAGAAAAAAAAGATTATTAAGTGAAATGGATAAAGAATTCTAATTATACAAACATTCGGAGGCAAAATTTATGGCTTCAATTGTTTCATTCGCCTCATCCAAACAGATTTCAAGCTGTTCTTTCCCACTTTTTAATTCATTAACAAATTCCATAAATGCATTATTTTCAGCTTCAATTTCTTTAATAACCTGTAAAATCTTTTTATGAACTCTTTGATGTTCTTCAACTTTGAATTTTTTCATATAGATCAAAAAAAATAAATAATTTGGTTTATTGTCATAAAATTAAAATAAAATCAAATCAAATACTTTAAAAGTGATAGAAACCATTACTCCACCTTACTTTGGTCAAGACCTTGTTGCATTTTTTTGTCCAACTCTACAATATCTTTCATTATGTCAACAGGTGGCCGATCTGTTGGTTTTCCTTCAGCATTTGCAGCGATGGCAGCAAATACACGGTCTATCAATGCTTGATAGTCGGTAAGGAGAGCAACATTTTGTGCAATCATTGACTTCGAAGAGCTTTTCGATGTGTTTATTGGATTCATTCTGAAACGTCCTTATCGCATGATAGAAGTTTGTTTTTATTGGTTAATCAACAAGAACTCTGATTGGCCAAAATTAAAGTTAAATACAATATCAAGAAATCCGGTTTTGAAAACTAAAATGATATCACATATAATTTAAATCCTGTTGAATTATAGAAAATGTTACCCCATGAGCAGTGGCTTGGCTTAGTTTCAAATTATAATATATATATATATTAAATTATTATTAAAGTAACGGATCAGTTTAGCTTGTTAATAGTTCGGCCTTGGTCTACAGAGCCGAATTCCGAGATGGATGTCCAATTGGGTTTAATTTTTTTTGGACATATCTGATATGTTCAATTCAATTGGACAATATATATATATATATATATATATTGATTTACAGCTGTTTTCATTATTTTTGGGACATTAGAGAAAATTGTTGATGACCGAATTAATAACTCAGTAACTTATCGATTCGGCCGTCAAAAGATGTCCCAAAAATAATGAAAACAGCTGTAAAAAAAAAAATCCACCCGAATAATAAATATACTTAAGATTTTTTTCTCGAGTTTGGCAAAAATTGAGTTATGAGATCCAAAAAATTAATTTTGTTTAGTCTTATCCGTGAGCTGAACCGAATACGTACATATGTGTCAGGCATTGGCGTAGTCGCAGTGATTTGCAATTTATATCTGGTAGCGGATCTCTGTTTATTATTCATCTGAATAGAAACTTCCATCTTGTGTTTCGTCAACCATCCTATACTGGATGTACTTTGTTAGTTTTCTATTTTCATATTTTCATTTAGTTTGTAAATTGTGAATGGATATAACAATAATATGTGATACTTTGCACTACATCGGTATGTAAGTAGAATATGGGTTAATAGAAATCAAGCAGATTGTCATTTTAAAAAAATTTAATCCCTTTTTTCATAACCTACACGTATCTCGATGAATTTTGAGGCTATCTTACGAATTAATAATAAAAGAAAGCCTAAGAACTAGATTTCTTTTTTTGAATATTAATTCATCAAGATAGCCTCAAAATTAATCGAGATATAAGTTGTGAAAATTAAGGGATTATCTTTTTTAAAAAATGTCAATCCGCTTGATTTGCAGCTCATATGGCATGTACTCTATGGATTTGGAACTAAAATTGATTTGGAATCTACTTAGTTTGAACATAATAATAATTACATCTAATATCTAATCTTCATCCCAACACTAACCTTAATAATTCCAAATTACTTAAATTCCATTTACAATATGGGTAAATAAAATCTAGCCTTTAAAAGTGAATTCTTTTTAATGATTAAAATTAGGGAAAGTGTTAAGATATAGCTTAAGGTAGGTTAGAGGAAAAGCTTCTTTTGTTTAAAAAGTTTTTTTTTTATAAATATCTACTTATTTTATTAGCTACACATATGTATTTATATTTATTGGGGGATTCGGCTAACCACTAATACGTATCAGATATATTATTTCCTCATAATTACGTATATTTAAGAATTTGGTGAGTTACCATCATTCATACGGGACTTAAAAAAAAAGCATAATAATAATTCATTAATAATAAATTCAAATAACAATGAAGAACGTACTTTTTTGTAGATAATTTTGAAAAAAAATGGTACGTATTAAAAATTTATCAATGAGATTGTTATTGAAATTACAATTTGGAATTATTTTGGCTAATTAATCCTGTAACTCGACATCAATCTGGTACACATTCAGTATTATGATGTCACAATATTAGATCTTAGATAAAATACCCACGAAATAATCCTGTAATCAATGGCTTACAAACCCGATTTAGAAAAAGAGCGTATCCAATAGTCTATGAGAAATTAAACTACTGTATTAAGTATGAATTATAATTAGAGAAACTAGAAACCCTTGAAATTATGATAAATTTAATCGAAAAGTTGAATTAATAATTGAATTAGCATTTTATAGATCAAATGAACGATAAGAAGCCTCACTAATCTGAGCGATGGTTTACACAATAGATACTGGCACACATATTAAGGGAAAATCAATTCTAATTTCGAAACTGTACAGGGAATTTTCAATAACAATATCCTGAAAAAATATTATAAATAATAAATAAAATATATACATATATATATTAAGATTATTTTTATAAAAGTATTCGCACGTAACGTACATACTTATTATATATATATCGATGTTTGATATATATATATATAATCTTATTAAAAAGGCTATAAAAGAAAAGAATTAAAAATATACCCCCGTGGTTTTTGTGTTCAAGGCCTCAACCTAGCCTATTTATATAAAAATTTAGAAATTCTAGATCACGCGTATAGATAAAAATGATGGAAAGTGGTGCAATTTAGGTGGTTCCCGGGAACCTAAACTTGTAATTGTATAACCTTAAAACTATAGCAAGTATAGATGTTTATTTATTTAATATGTATGTACGTGCAGCTTTATTGGTCACGGTTCTTTGCATCTGACGATTTAAAAACCTTAATTAGGATGTTCATATACTTACCGTTACGAATACTGCAATTTTAACTGCGATGCAACTAATAATGTGGCGAGACTGCGCTCAGATATATCTTTTTTTTGACAAAGCAAATGCGCTCTTAGATTGATAAGGTTTCGACTTTTCTAAGATTTCTATATATTTGAATGTCGTCATGATCTATAGTTAATATAGTTAATGCATCAACTCCGCAATTTTTTTTGAGTAACATTGACCCTGAGAGTTCATATATTAACGACTATTGTCCGTTAAATTCATAATGTTGAAAAAATACACTGGTCGTAGTATGTAGTACGTTACACGTATATCATGCATCATAATTTTGTGGCTAAACTCCAAATTTGAGATAAAAGGCACTTTCGTTCCCATCCTCTTTCTTCACACTCTTTTCTTTTAGGTGGTAAAATTTTTTCGCTAATCTCGTAAATTCGTAACCTTATCAAATTAAAAAGGTGGCTCTCTTATCATTTTCAAACACGTTTTTTTTACGCGCTTTTTATTTTTGTCGTAAAAAGAAAAAACCTATATAAAGCCCTGGGAACCTATTTTACATAATATAATACGAACGTAGGTTTCTCTTTTTTCTCTCTTTTTTTCTCTCTTTTTTTAACCTCTCTTTTTTATCTCGTTAAAAATTTTTCCAAGACTAATATAATATGCTAAAAGAATTTATTTATTATCGATTTAATTTTTTAGGTTATTAAAAAAAAAAAGTGTATATAATAAAAAGTTACTCGACTGTTTTCAACATAAACCTCTTATAAAAAAAGCCGCTATTTAACAAGTACATTAAGAAAAAAAAACACAGATTTTTCACTTCAATGTTTACCCTCACAGAAACTTCAACGGCTCTTAACACAAGCTATCTTAGCCATAATAAAAACACTGCTTCAATTGACGAATCATATTTATCACCCATGGCACAAATCAATAATTATACTCTTCAAACGTCTACATCTCGTGCATCTGAAAACTCATCAAGGTATTTACTCTTTCACTATAAAAGATTTTTTTAGTCTTGGGGATTTACGATGGGATAATCAGACTGAATAGATATATTCACTTACAGCTTACGAATTGGCAATGCTGTTTAATGTCTGATAATCCAAGTATGATTTTTTTCAACGTATCCTTTATTAATTTCGTCTTTATTAAAATTTTTTATACCTTATCTTTTTTTTATTATAGATCAAATTTATCAAACGCCATCAATAATAATAATAATAATAATAATAATAATAATAGTAATAATCATCATAGACGACGATCTATTGCATCTCAACAAGAATCGTCTAGAAAATCTTCAGATCAATTACTACCGTCACACAATATTGCATCAACAAATATCATTCCATCAAAGAAATCTTCTGGTTGTTTTCATAAATTTCATGATGATAATGATGACGAAAAACTTTCTTTTTCTGAGACCGCTTCACCTATATCAGAATCTGGAATCCTGGACTCTACTTCCACTGTACCTGATTTATCAATCACAAATAATCTTAATTCTGTACATATAGTTCCAAAAATTTCTGTTAATGACATTTATAATACTCCTGAAAATAGTGAAGAGGATACATTTGCTAATGTTTCAGATTGCACTGAGGATTTTAGTGATGATGATGATAATAATGATGATGTATTTGATCAAATTTTCAACAATCCGTCCTCTCCTGCTTCGGTTCAATTGGAACCGTTTGATAATCAAGTTGGTGGTCATACTTCTTTTTTTAGATTTTCTCAAAAAGCTGTTTGCAAACCTTCTGTACCAAGAGAACATTATTTTTATGAACTTATTGATAAGTATCACCCCGAACTTTTACCTTTCATTCCTCAATATTTGGGGGTTGTTAATGTTAATAATCGTACTCATGATGGTGAAGTAAATTCAATGCCTGAAGTTGTTTTTGATCAGAATAAACATCTTTTACCTGAATGGATGCTCAATAGGGTTAATTCTTTTGATAATAATCGTTATGATAATGATGATGATAACCGATTATTTGACAAAGTGAACAATAAAATACCTTCAGTATCTAGTACTTTAAGTTTAGGTTCTTCAAAAATTAATCAAGATTTAAAAAATGAAGTTTTGCGTGAGGTATTTTCACCTCGAGTTTTACGTGCTAGAATGCGACAAATTCAAGCTTTACAAAAAGATCCAGTTAGAAGAAGGCATTCAATGACCAATGTTACCTCTTTTAGGAGAAAGTCTAAATGTAAAACTCCTGAAATATCTGAAACTTTTGATTCATCTTGTGAAAAGAAAAATGTTCCTTCTTCTAGAGGATTCTCTTCACTTGACATTTCATCACCTAGACCTGTTAAAGATCATGATGTGAAAAAGGGAAGGCCAAATTCTTATCCAAAGTCTACTTCACATATCGAGTTTTCTCACGATCAAATGACTCCTGATATCCACTCTGATTTTAATATGAAAGATATAGAATATTCATCATCATCATCATTACAACCTACTATGAATTCACAATATTCTACAAATGCAAATTCTAATGAAGAACTGGTCACTCTTCCACATTCACCAAATAATCCTTGGTCTTTACGTTGTTATTCGTTACAAAAATCAAATCAAGATCCTAATAATGTACAACAATTCATTATTCTTGAAGATCTTACAGGTGGATTGAAATATCCTTGTGTTTTAGATTTAAAGATGGGTACAAGACAATATGGTATTGATGCGAATCCAAAGAAACGTGAAAGTCAAATAAAAAAATGCGCAGAAACCACGAGTAAAACTTTGGGTGTTAGGATCTGTGGCATGCAGGCAAGTGTTTGCATTTATTATTATTATTTTTATTGTTATTATTATTGTTATTATTGTTATATTATTTAATTTTATTTAGATATCATTTTTAATCATTTTTTGTTTTTTTTATAGGTTTATAAATCAACAACAAAACAAGTTCATTTTCAAGATAAATATTATGGTCGCTCTCTAAATAATGAAACTTTCTTTAGTTCATTAGTCGATTTTATTCATAATGGGAAAGCACTTTTAGTACATCATATTCCCGTCATTCTTCGTAAACTTCGACGTCTTGCAAAAATAATCCGTGGACTTTCGAACTACCGATTCTATGGAAGTAGTTTATTGCTTATTTATGATGGCGATGAGAGCAATCCAAGAGATATAGACGTTAAAATAATTGATTTTGCTCATTGTACGACGGGCAAAGATTATTTACCTGAAGAGTATAAATATCCACCGCATGAAGGTTACGATAAAGGATACTTATTAGGGCTTAAAAGTTTATGCCAATCTTTTGAGAAAATTTATAAAAACACTTATGGTATTAAACCTGAAGATGTTGGTGAAGAAGAAGAAGGCGTTTTTTCAGAAATCTGCGAAGATACATGATTATTTTTCATGAAACTCAACTGGGACGGCTGTCAAATTTACCGGGCATGTGACATGCTCCACTGCCGCAACCGCCGGAAGGACCATAAACGTAAACTTGAGGTTTACAATTTGTCCTACACCGAGGTAGCTTTGGTTAGTTAGTGTTTAGCGTTTTTTAACGTTAAAAATTGTATATTTTTCTTTTCCTAAAAACATTAATAAAAATTTTTTCTAATGGTGATAAATTATTTCTCCGGATAGTTTTTAAATTAGAAAGACATTTTGAAAAAATTTAGATTAATAGTTTTATATGTCTTTCGGGTTTAGCTATGATACAGGTTGTCATTTTGAGCTGTTGGTGCCGGACACTATTATTATAATCGAAGGGCTTTTAATTTGCATTTAACATCAATGCAATATTCAATTTCTATTCGTGCTCTATTCATTTTTTTCAATTCTTTTATATTTTGTATAATTTCTTAATCTACAAAATTTCTTACAAGACATTTTATATATATATACACCTTTTATTTTTCATTTCATTTGTTTTTTGTATATACGGTATATCCTTTGTAAATGATAGATATACATGTTTCACAATAAAAATTCTTGTTACAAATCTGAAAAATATATATGCATATTTTAGATGGCAATTTAGTACAATTTCTGCATATTTAAATTATATCGTTATTAAGCGTTTTTTTTTGTCTGTCAGGGATCATAAACGTGCTTTAAAAATTGTGATCGATTGATTGCATTTTAAGATTAACCCTTTCATCATTGCACAGGTGTGCAACGGATGATATGCATAAACAAAAAGTAAATCAAAAGTCGTAACCTATTGTACTAATTATTATCTAACAAATAAATAATTAAATTTTACAAAATAGTAAGACAAAGAAAATACAAATAACAAGTATATACATTGTTATAAGTTAATAAAGAGATAAACAAAAAAATTGATGTGTGAAAAGTTTCTTCTTCAATTGTTAAATATAATTGTTGAATTAATAGCCCATGTTTAATTTTTAACCGTTATATATAATAAAATTACAAACACTGAAATTCTTATTTATGCTCTTACATTTATAAAACCAATTTCGGGATAAAATAGTCATGGCGACGTTTATTTAACCTGTACATCAAACGCATTGGACTCGGCGATCAGAGCAGGAACGAAAATTTGAAAAAATTTTAGTTATAATTCCTAGTTACTTTGAAATTTAGAATGTCTTTTGTTTTATATAACTTTGCTAATGGATACATTTAGAAAATGCTCTTCGAAACCAAATGAATTTACCTTAGTATATTTAGAAAATTTTTTTAATCATGCTTTCACAACCAATTTAATTAATAAAAAAATTCAATTAATATAACGCTTTTTTTTTCAGAACCTAAAATATCTAAAAAAATTTAGAATAGTGTTTACACAATGAATTTTTTTTTTATCAGAACCAAGTTGATTATTAAACATTTAATAATTAAGGTTTGCACGAAGCGCCTTTGTTATTTCTTACCCTCCCTCATAACCAAGTGAATTATTACCATTATCTAAGTAGTTAGCATGGTGTTTACATAAAGTAAAATGATTAATCTGAATTAATTATCTATGAAAAAATTCAAACGAACTTCCATAATTATCGTCAAAAAAATTATCATCAAAAAATTATTATTTCTTGAATGTGATGGCACTGGAGACGGACGTGAAAAATAAAAGGAGAAGGTTATTACTGGTATATTATTAATATTGTTATTTTCTACTTACCGACTTATTTCTTTTTTTACCTATACTTGTCCACATTTATAATTCTTTCATGCTTCGTAAATTATAATCACGAGTTTTATGAAATTTACTTTGTAAATTATTCAGCGTCCTTTTTGAGAGTTGGTAAAGGTTTTCTTATAAAAAATTCTTGTGAATATTCTTCGAGGTTTGGCGGATTTACAAAACTTGGTGTATGGTCCCATGCCAATTTTGATGGATTGTGGTGCGAATCTCGGAGATGGACTTTTTCATGTGCAGCTCCTGCTCCTGTAAAAATAACATATTTAGATTTAATTTTAATTTGATTTTTTTTTTTTATTGAGTTTCCATATAACAGTTTCATACCTTAAGGAATCCAATATTTAACTCCTTTGGAGAAATCTGCAAAAATACAGATTTTGCAAAAATTATCACGAGTTTAATATATATTCGCGAGTTTTACGTATGATGAACTTTTCCTTTTAACTGGAGCTTCAGGTTCTGAAGTCCTAGAGTTACTTCAAGTTCCGAGGTTCTGGAGTTTATTAAAAATTGCATGGTAAAATTGATTTGTATTATTGATTTGATTGGTCAGTTATCGCATGAAACCTCACATTACATAATTTCCGGCCGAAATTAACTTTTTAATTTTTTCATTACGCTCAACTCTCGGTGTGGGATAATTAATTAACCCACCTAACAAAAAAAAAATTCTCTCAATAAGCATGCCTTGCAACAGGAATGACCGTCCCAAATACACGAATGTTGGGTGATTGTCACATGCTAACTAGCCAATCAAAATCAATAATTTATAAAAAAATTAAGTGCCGAAACAAACAAAATTAAAGAAATTTAATTAAAACTTAGGGGTTAGGGTCCCATAGCCTAGTGGTTTAGGCACCTAACCCTTTACAGATGAGGTCAACAGTTCGATTACAGCTAGTGGTAATTAATTTAATTAATTATCTTTGTAACCTACAGGAGCTTTTGAATGCGAAACCCTGTGATGATAAGACCATGTGAAGTACTTATTTGGCCTATAAAGAATTCTTGGAAGGAGTCCTGAGCTGTAGAGAAGACTGGGCACTACGTGTGACATGGAGTCACAGAAAGTAATACTGCATAAGGCTGTACATGTAAATCCTCAATTGGCTAAATAGCATTAACAACCCTAAGGCGGTCTTGGGGATCTTGATTAGGAAGACAGCTAAATGCAGCATATTTGAAAGTGGTGAGAGAAGCGGCAAATATAGTAAGGAGCTGTGATAAGAGGATGGCTTTACCAAATAAAAGAACACCTCTGCATACAAGATTAGAAAATTAGAAAACTAATAAGGAAACACTGCATATCACAATGTCGATAATAGATGCCATATTGATGCGCTATAAGTCAAGGTTCCAGGTGCCCTTGTATCACCAAGCTAGAAATAAAACGATCATTAGTAGTACACCCATATAACATAAGTTATAATAGGAAGCTTTGGCATCCATGCTATAGTCAATCATACCAACTATAGGAATATTGTATAAAATAGGTGGTACACTGCAAATAACAACTAGAGATTCAATAAATCCAGCCGTATCGTAAAGAATCAATATATAGGGAAGGCTGTATACACCAATATGGGAACAAGAAGAGCGACAAACCGCCGGAATGAACCAATTTGAGAGAATTATAAGGTTGCTGCAGGAAGTAGATAGGAAAGTGTAATAGTACGAAAATAGGTAACAATAGAAATCTTGTAATATAGTACTGTTACAGAGTAAAGTCTTTTTAATTTACTCTATAACGACGACACGGCACAGGGAATCCTTTCGTAGGTATATGCGGTGTCCAAGAGGGAAGTATAGCTTCTTTTCTCTTTAAGAAACTATACCCTTCTCTAAGGCAGTTCGTGGGGAAATACAATAACAATAATA